TATATATATATATATATATATATAAAACTTTAATTATATATAATTAAAGTTTTTGAATTTCCTTAATATGGTACAATAAAGGAATTCTTATATTAAATTGAGAAAGCTTGAAATAAAAGAGTGACAATTTGGTAAATTAAGCACTCACCTCTCATAGAAAAGTGGTAAATTATTTACTGTTATTGTTTAAAATTAATTTTGCATGAGGATCTTCAAAGGTTTGATACCAGAATCAGATCGAAAAACAGAACATAATTATCAAACACTAAAAATATACAAAACAGACAAAAACATTTTGCAAGTTGTTAATTCATTTACGCAGGTTTATTTTCTGAATATGCTTGTTTGTCTGATCACACTCATTATGACAGCCTACAACATATTCAGCAATTACTGTGGCAAAATTATGGAGGACCTAGAGAGTCACTGAAAAAGAAAACTAACCATTTCAAATTTAAAATTTAAACCATGCAATTTAACATATCATTTGAAAAGAATTTTCTAATTGGACATTTTAAAGTGAATTATTAATCCATTAATAAATACTGGATTTTGAAAATGTATTTTCCAACCTTACCTGTGAATGGAAATGTAGAAAGTACAATTTCTAAATCTGATTATTATTACCTTTCCTAATCACACATTTAAAAAGGTTATCCTCTATTACATTTTCTTTCTCAACTTGCATTTTCAAATCCAGATTGAAATCTTTTCTTTTTGCTTACCAGTTAAACTATCTCACTGGTTAGGCTGCAACATTTGCTTAACAAAGTGACCAATGAGGCAGCTGGTTACACCTGAGGAGCAACTGTGATTGGTTAAACTGGTTTTCACTGTGCTCAAAGACCAGATTTAATAAAGAAAGTGGAAATGGAATAAGGAATAACCTTTTAATTAGTAAAAGGTATTTATGATGAGTTTTATGAAATTTGGTTTTTAACGCTCCATTTAACAATTTGATTTGAAAATACAATTCCTATTTAATAATTTATTTTGAAAATGTACAATTGGAAAATGCTTTTCAAATGCATGTTTAAATTTAAGATGGCTGGTTTTCTTTTTCAGTGACTTTCCAGGTCCTCCATACAGAATGTAATCACCAAATTGTCCACCAGCTTTCTCTCATTATGCAATTGTTGTTACAAGGTGATTTTAATGCGACTTAAGCTCAACATGATCAAATATGATCACAAAGCCATTTCAGAAATGACTATCAGGCGTCACCATCTCAGCTAGCTTTGTCCTTTTCTATGCATTTTAGTGTGACTATATGCTTCACGTAATCTTAAAAAAAAAAAAACAATGACCTGCTTTTGTTTTGTGCATTCTTTATTTTACTGTTTGTACGACTGTGTTCACTTGCAGCTGCAGGACAAAAGATGAACTCTGGGAGATTTACACATGGTCGGACAGATGAGTACAGGTGAGAAAAGCAGTGCATATTTCAATGTTCGATCTTTTCTCTCTGATGGTTATTTTAAAGAAACAGGATGGATGAAGGAAACTAATAGAGGAATGATAGGTACCAAAAAAAAAAAATTCAAGAAAACATAATCAAAAATTAATAACTGAAGCTTGTGATGATGGTGAACTTACAAGTTAGTTTATGTGACGCTGTTGCATGACGTGGCAGCATCTTTTTCCTATTAAAAAAGATTTTCTTCCACCTGTCTGGATGTCAGCTAAAATACTAATGTAAACAGGATGCCAAAACATTTATTTGGGCATCTTTGCTGAATGGATAATGTTGCTGAGTTTTTAATACATTGCAGCTGGACTGGAGTCTGTTGTTCTGTTTCAAAGCTGTTTTTAATTAATATTGCATTGGTCAAGGTCTGTAGACTATTGAATCATCAATTTTAGGTTTCTTTTACTTCTGGCAGTTGCCAATGACCTCAGTGTAGTTTAATTACCAGATAAGCTTAGGTTGTATGAGCATTAGCATGCACAGAGGCAGAGGAGGAAAGAAAAAAAGTCACATAAAGCATGTTCTCACCACTTTAGAAGGCACTTTAACTCATATTTTGGCTCCCAAAGGGACACATTAGCGTGCATTTTGGTTTATGTGAGAATTCAAATATATACCTAGGACTTGACTTACCAATGCCCTCTTCACCATGCAGTGGCCCACCTAAGGAACTAAGGAGTTTTTTTGTTACACTATGATGTATGAAATGCTGCCTAAAGGAAATCTGACTCATTGACTATGACTTAGTTAGACTATTATTAATACCTTTAGGATTTTAGATTAATAGTCGCTTAAATCAGGAAAATATAATATTTCCCTTTATGTGATTTTAAAATTTTAAACCAGTTAATCTTTTATTTATGCACTGATTTTCCATGTATCATTGTTTGACTCCAAATCTGGTCTGTAACTACTTGACTTTAAATGTCAAAGAATTGGAAATTTTATTCTAAAAACTCGAGCCGGCATCAACAGGTCTAACAGGGCATGTGATCTGCACCTTTCTCTGGGTTTACAGAGATAACCTTTTCCCTACATAAGAAGAATCTGGACTGAACAGACAAAACAAGGCTAATTCGCTGTTGCCCTGGTTACTAATGCCAGGGTGTAATTGTGGGGTTTCAGACATTGTTCGATGTGCTCAGCTGATGGGGAGAAAGCTGCTAGTAAACCTCTTAGGGCCCTACCTAAGTCCTACTACAATACTCTCACTTATGGAGGATCAGCCTATGGTCCTCCTCCTCTAGCCTCTGCATACACACAAACTCACTGGAACAAACCTTTGCACATTCACATGGCTATCTCCTGCCTGCGATTACACACCAAATCTGGGTCCAAGTTGCCAACATTCCTCAGTCGACCCTGCTGCTCTGTTAAACTGAACTGCATTCCTGCAGGACCACACAGGACAACGAAGGCGACATCAGCCTCCACATATACTTCTCATTCTGGTCTTACTTTATTATTTTTAACAGAAGCTGAAAGTGTGACTGAGGCTAAAAACAACAAGTTTGTATTATTTCCAGCCGGCTGAGCAGAGAGGAGGCCTCTCACATCAAATGGTTGCAACCAGGTCAACTAAAACGGAGCTTTATTTCACTGGATCTTTCGTATGGGAAGCACTAAATCTTTTATTTTTTATATTTTCCTAAAATACAAAACGGATTCCCTAAGCCACTAGGAAGAGTCTTTGTTTTTGCTTCAAAATGGACCTTTTACCAGACAGTCCACGTTTACGGTCAGACAGCGCAAGCAGCTCTGCATCCCAGAGCTCCAGGTCGAAGACTGTCCTTCGCCAGCGCCTGTCCGAGCTGATGACCTGCATAGAGGACATGAGTTCTGATGACGAAGCCGGCGAGGAGGTGTCCCGTAAGCTGGATGAAGCCTTTCAGCTTTGTGGACAATTACTGCCCACAGATGCTTTCAGGTTGAAAAATTCACAAGCTTTTGCAGATATTAGTAAGACATAAGTTTGAATATAATATCAGCCTTCACAGCAATGACTTTATATAAATATATACTAGCCAAAATAAACATTTAAAGAAAAGTTTACTATACTATATAATATATAAGAAAACAGTGAAAGATAATAGATTTTTGTACGGGTCTGTTCATCTCCTTTTTTGTTAAGATTATATTAAAAAGATAACTAGATAGATTAATATTGAGTTAAAATATAAGTTTATTTATTAAAAAACATTTACAGACAAAACCATCACAAAATGCTGATGATAGATAGATAGATAGATAGATAGATAGATAGATAGATAGATAGATAGATAGATAGATAGATAGATAGATAGATAGATAGATAGATAGAT